CACATTGAGGAGGCGGTCAACAATCTGCATCCTAATGCCCCCGATGCCCACCAGACAGCAGCCAGCGTAGTCGAAGCTAACAATGCAATCAAGGCCAGGAACGCGGCAGCTGCCGCTCAGCACATAGCAAAAGCTCGAGACCATCTTCAGGCAGCAGAGACCGCTCAGAACAATGCTGGACCTTCCCAGCCCAACACAAGTGGCCAATGGACAAGTGCTAGAAGCAACTTTGGACCACCCACTGCAAGTCCAACTATCCCCAGAACATATGCGAATCACAACCTCATCACTTCAGATGGGCGGCCAACCACGTATGGCGTCTTCAGAAGGACCAGGAACTCAAGTGGACGCTTGCAGCATCATAAATCAGTTTCCAAGGGCGGTGGTGTGTATGGGTGGAAAGCCTGCCCCAAAGAAGCATACAACAAGAGCACTACGGCAAAGAAGGTGAACCTGTCCTGATTACAATGTCCGTTGCGTTATGGTCCTGCACACTTTGGTCGCCATGGTTCTTATGGTATGTCTTTGCTGCCAAATCTCTTTTCCTTAAGCCCCCAACGACCGTAGCCCGTACTGCAAATGCTCGTGCTGCCAGATCTCTATTCCCTAAGCATCGATGGTGTCATACTGATGTGCACCAAAGCTCATAAGAACTTTATCTCAGCACAATACAGATAGCATCCAAATGCAGATTCTCGTTCGTACGTTGACATGTAAAACCATCACCCTGGAAGTTGAGTCGTCAGACACCATTGAGAATGTCAAAGCCAAGATCCAGGACAAGGAGGGGATTCCCCCAGAACAACAGCGCCTCATCTAGCGGGCAAGCAGCTGGAGGACGGCCGTTCGCTGGCTGACTACAACATCCAGAAAGAGTCTACTCTCCACTTGGTTCTGAGACTCCGAGGAGGTGTGAGACAGTGATTGACAGTGAGGAAGCCACAGGCAATGCTTGGAAACGTACATTTGGTGTGATGATCAAGGCTTGCGCAGGTGCGCAGATACACAGGGGTTTGGCTCCCCTCCCTACAATCAAAAAGCTGACATTTGTTCGCCATCTGTGTACCCGCGCAAGCTTGCTGTTCACTCTAATATTCTACATTCTTGGTTGCTTCATATCCAGACTCAGTGTCCGTGACTGACTCTCTCACTGGCACCTATGTTGTCCCAACGACAGAAAGCGGCCCACTGTATTTACAAAAACCTACTGTCTCACTATTCCAACTCTGACCTCAGTTTCCTACAGAAAGAGCCGTCCTACACGATTGTGTTGTCTCCGGAGCCGTCCTATACGATTGTGTTGTCTCCGAACATGCAAAGGTCTTGTTATATGAGCTGTGCACAAAAACCTCTGGCAGCTTGCTTGGGGGGTTCACCATGCGGTTGATTGCGTAACCTAGCTGGAGGGCCAGTCGAAAGACCTCCTCAGCATCCTCCATGCAGCAAGCATGGCCGGCCAGATCTTCGCGCTTCCCCGACCATGTACAGCCCACCCGCTGTCCAGAGACCTCAAAGCTGCGCGGGCAGTGCACACTGCAGCAGACAAGCTCGTGAAACCATTTGGTCTCCGCCAAGTACCTGCACAGAGACTGACAAGACATGTCAGACTCTTCAGAACACTTATCATGTTCATCGTGCAGCTCAACAGCCAGCTCAGAATCTTCTTGCAAACCTGCTTGAGCTCAGCACCATGACGTACCTCTCGTTGCAGCCGCCTCTTGGGCACTCTATGGAGGTGGTCCTCTTGAAAACAGGCTTGTAATCCAAGAGGGACACCACAGTAGCCCCTGATGATGCAGATTCGCAAGAAGGGGCCCGAGTCAAGAGACTTGGTGAATCCATGTGGGAACTTTTGGAAAGTTTCGGCAGGGTCTGAGGTATGACGATCAATTACCTCAATGTTTGCCAAAAGTATGACGCCCGGGTGGCCTGACCGCACCAGGCTCATATTCGGCTGTCAAGGGAAACCGGTTAACCGGCGGGTGTCTTCGGGTGATCGACGGTCCTTCAGAGGTGACTTTGTGCGATCGACGGCTTACCAACGGGTACACGCGGGTGGCTTTGGGTGAACGACGGTGAATGAAGGTGCATAATTGATACCCGAGGTCACCGATTTTTTGGACCGGCTCACCCGTCGGCGATCGACGGCATACTGTAGGGTGCGTAAAGGTGATGGACGGTGGACTAGCGGTGCATGCAACCCACAAGTGTGACCTGGATCCAGACGTGGCTTGCAAGATGTGGCTTATATGATTGTTAAAAGGTGCCTCTGCAGCAGTGGGCGCAGCCAAAAAAGCTGCCTACTTCCCAATCTTCGCCCTCTTTGCATATCTCTCATTCCGTGCTGCATCTCCCTTCCGCTTCTTGTTTGCAGCCAGCAGAGAGTCCATCATCTCCCAATAGCTGTCCGTGTAATCCCACAGGAGTTCGCTCAGAGCCTTTGCCTCATGCGAGCCCTTTGGGGCGTAAGCGGGAACGTCAACCATTGTGATGGCAAACCCGTCTGCGTCAATCATGACGTTGTTTGGATACGGCATGCCGTGCCCATCGTTCATGATGTGCATGTGAGCCCCAGGGTAGTCGTACTCGTCTGTTGGGAACAGCACCGTGCCAGCCACCGCAAGCTGCTCCTCATCACTCTGAGGTGGCCTTGAGCCGTCCACAATGATGCCCCTTATCGTCAGTAGGTAGGCTGCCTTGCCCGCATCCTCCAGCACCTTTGCCTCCCTCTCTACTTGCCTTCTCCCTCGCTTTCCCAACACAAAGCCCAGGTATCTCCCAATGATGGTCCCCGCTGGCATCGGGCGCGCCGCAAACAGCCCTAGCTCGTGTGCCCCTCCAATGCCCCTCAAGACCTCCGATCGCCGGATGAGGACCCAAGGCCTACAGTGGTTCCCCTCGAGGAGGCAGACATCCACCTCTCAATTCGACCCAACAACATCGACAAACTCCATTGCTCTATTCCAAGGTAAGAATAATCTGCATGCCCGCTATCTTCTTTGTCCAGGCAGACGAGGTGCACGCCCAGTAGCACGTGCATGCAGAGCTCGTGAGGAGTGCAAAGTATGGTTCCATCTGAGGCACTCTTGTTACTCTGAGTTCTACGAGTAACAGAATGCTTCAGAACTTTCAGAATTCAGAGGTGGAATTTGTAGTAACGCCTTCATTCTGAGATCCAATCGTGTTGTATTAGCATGTCAGGAACTGCTTCAGAATGCGTCAGAAGTTTCAGGTTTCAGAGGTGTAATTTGTAGTAACGCCTTCATTCTGAGATCCAGTCGTGTTGTACTAGCATGTCAGGAACTGCTTCAGAATTACTAGGTGTGAATGGTTGCAGGATCAGAAGGTGTAGTTGCACTTGCCGTTGTACTAACTTCCTCAGGAACCTGCTTCAGAAGTTTCAGAATTCAGAGGTGTAATTTGTAGTAACACCTTTTTCTGGAGATCCAATCGTGTTGTACTAACTTCTTCAGGAACCTGCTTTAGAAGCTTCAGGATTCAGAGGTGTAATTTGTAGTAACACCTTCATTCTGGTATCGACTTTTGTATGGTGTAGTTCGGTAGTGGCCCTTAGAGTTGTCTATTCTGACACAATCAGCTACAATATCCCGGAGTATCAGCCTTTGACAATATGCTCAAAGATGCTGACTGGTAAGAACAACTATTCTGTGACGATGGTGGCAAGGTTCAGAGAGGAGTTTTGATGCTGTTTAGGAGGAGTTTAGAGACTGTTCAGGCTCGCGGGAGCTGGATTGCAAAGCTGATGTATCCATCGTTTGCCACATGTGAGACTTGCAAGTCGTTATCCCTGCAGAACTCGTCCACTGCACGCCGCACCCCAAAGGTGTACTCAAAAGGGCACTTTTTCGGATTCGCCCCATAGTCATGTCCGCAGATGAACCCCCCTGGCTTCACTCTGGTCAAGGCCGCCGCCAGATCCTTCTTCACGTCCTCGTAAGTGTGCGACCCGTCCAGGTACACGAGGTCAAAGTACCCCCTGTAGAATTGCAGCAGTCCTTGCGGGGACCACGCCCGATGGATGAACACCCTGTTGTCACCCTCGAACCGTCGCCGCACATACTCAATCGCATCGTTCCCATGGCACGTGCGGATAGAGTCACCGTCCCGATTGCCCGAAACCAGCTGCCCCTCGAATGGGTCGATGAGGTGCAGCTCCGCTGGCTCCAGTGACAGCATGAATGCTGAGAGGTCGCCCAGGAACACCCCCACCTCTGCCACCCTCCATCCAGGCTCCTGCACGATCGCTCGAAGCATGTACTCTCTGCACTCGTGCTCGATCACCATGCTGTTACGTTCTACAACGAGATTGTGGACCAGCACCAAGCCGCGGTCAGTCCTTTGAACCCTCAGACTGCCGACCGTTTTGCTAGGCGTGAACGCAGCTCACTCAACATGTTTGCTTTCTGAGCCTTTTTTTTAATGTTTTCAAAGTGCCTTTCGAGGTCTCGTTCGGTGAGAGGCTTCGTCTTATTCACCTTTGGAATGATATGGCCAACCACGTTTACGGGCAACTTGAGCTTTTTGCGCTCTGCATCTGCCAGAGCGACCGAATCCATGATCCACTTGTACTTGTGACTGTAATTGCGCAGAATGTTGGCATTTGACAGATTGCTCCCTGTGTAGCGCCGGGCTACCTTGGCGAGAACCGGTGCATTATGCCCCGCGACTCTGCGTGCGCGCAGGTTGGTCTCAAACATGTTGGTCGCCCGCTTCGATCTTCCAGGTGGAGGGGGTGGGGGTGGGGGTGCAGGGGCCACCCTTCGATTTGCCGATGGCTTTGGCCGCTCTTTGCCTTTCAGCCAAACCATACAGCTGTCAA